TTATGATTGACTATAACAAGTTACAACCGGTCATAATAGTCATATATGAACACTTCTAACAAGTTCGTTACCTTGATATGTACAAAAAAACAAAGTTACCTAAATGTGAACAAAACAAAAATATAACTACCAAGATAAGTCAATTTTCCTTTTTATTAAGACGGTCAATCATAATTTTTGTAATATTAATATATTCACTTAAATTTTCTTAAAATAATGACCATTCAAATTGGCCAAGACATGTTCGGGGCCATTTTTTGTAGCATAATATATATATATATATATATATATATATATATATATATATATATATATATATATAAAAGACAAGAGCAATGCTATTGATATAGATAAAAACTATTTCTATTTTTTATATTTTAAATTCTTGTAATATATTAAGCAAACTTTATTGAAGACGATGTTCTATTTCATGTTATTGTTCTTCATCTCTGATACTTTTAGTTTTTTAGTAAATTTTAATTTTTACATTTAATATCTTAAACGATAAAATTCTATAATTTAGGGTTTAGGTCATTTTTGGTCACATAACTTTTGGTTTTATGCTCATTTGGTCACTTAACTATTTTTAAGTTTTAAAATGTAATCAAACTTTTGACTTTATGCTCATTTAGTCACTTAACTTTTGGTTTGATCATTTAACTTTTAGATTTGTGCTCATTTAGTCACCTAACTTTTAAAATTGTGCTAATTTAGTCACTAAACTTTTAAAAAAATTTAAAAGTTTAGTGACTAAATGAACACAATTTTAAAAGTTAGGTGACTAAATGTGACCAAACCAAAAGTTAAGTGACTAAATGAGCACAAAGCCAAAAGTTTGATTACCTTTTAAAACTTAAAAAGAGTTAAGTGACCAAATTAACACAAAACCAAAAGTTAAGTGACCAAAAATGACCTAAACCCTTTTATAAAACGACAATGTGTTTTTTTCCTATTAATTTGAAGGGTTTTATTATTATTATTATTTTATTTTTTTATATACTTCCGAAGTAGTATATTTTAAAAATATATTTACCAAAATTGTGTGGTTTTGAAAATATTTACGATTTAGGTTGAATTTAGAATGTAAAATAAAAAATAAAGCAAAATTGAATTATTAAAGTAATTAACTTTTCGTTTTGTTCATATCTATGTAACCTCGTTTTTTTGTATACATCTAGGTAACAAACTTATTGGAAATTTCACAGATGATCATTATGACCAATTGTAACTTGCTACAACCGTTCATAATGGTCTTATGTGAACACTTCCAACAAGTTTGTTACCTAGATGTGTACAAAAAAAGGAGGTTACCCAAATATGAACAAAACAAAAAGATAATTAGTCTGATAAGTCAATTTCCCTTAAACAAAACACAATATCATTATGCTTGTATCTTCTCTCAAGTTTTTATAAAGAAGGAAATGGGAGGAAAGGGAATGAAATATGTGTTTTCGAGTTTCATTTAATAAGGAAAAAGGAAGAGAATGAAAGGATTGTTATGGAAAGAAAGGGAAAAAGGAAGAGAATGAAAGGATTGTTATGGAAAAAAAGGACTTATTTTCTTAGATTTTTGAGTAAATTACATTAATAGTCCCTATGGTTTGGGGTAATTTGCACGCTTGGTCCCTAACTTATTTTTTTAACTCGGAAGGTCCCTAATGTTTGTTTTAGTTACGCGTTTGGTCCCTACTGTTTGTTTTTGTTACGCGCTTGGTCCATGTCTTACCTAAAAAGACTATTATTTACATAGAAAAAAATGATGAGGTATTTAAGGTAAGGTGAGAGGGTGAGGTTGGGAGTGTGTTTATTTAAATAAATTAAAAAATCAAGGGAAATAGTCTTTTTTAGGTAAGACGAGGACCAAAAGCGTAACAAAAACAAATAATAAGGACCTTCCGAATTAGAAAAATAAGATAGGGACCAAATGTGCAAATTATCCTAAACCATAGGGTCCATTCGTGTAATTTACTCTAGATTTTTTTCCTCTCTTTTTGGGATGATTGGAAGAGAAAGAAAGGAAAAGGAAAAAAGAATGAAAAGAAGGGGAAGGAAAGAAAAAGTTATTTTTTTTTTCATATCCTTCCTAAAAAAACTCCACGAAAAACTCAAAAATTAGAGACCCGATAAATAAGTCAAAAAATATTATAATAAACAAATTATTAATACTATTGACGACGGTGAGTCTAACCGTCGTCCTCAAAATCACAGCCGTCTAAACTCCACGTTCTTTCAATCTCGTCCGCATAAACTTGATTTTGGCGGTTTTTTGCAGTTCATCGCCTCCTGGTTCTTCTCCCCCACGATTCCGTCTCTACTCACGTTGTACACAATTGGCTGTTGTTTCCTCAAGAAGCAATTGATTTGGAAACGCGTCGGACTTTTACTCTTAACCGCAAATTGGTTTTAATCAACAACTGCACAACACGATTCCATGATTGCTAGAAATCAGGTGGTTTTGATTAACTGTCTTGCCTATATAAAGAGTTGAATTTCACTGTAATTGCTTGAATCATAGTTGTCGATTGACAATTGTTGGAATAAATAGTTGCTTCTGTTGCTCCAATGGCTTCCGATTCGTCTGACATACTTTTCACTTAAGGTAAAAAATCATTTGTTTACTCGATTTCGATTGTTTGTATCTCATTGCATTTGTTTGTTTCAATTGGTAAAACTAATTGATTCGTTTGATTTAATGTTTTTGCCAATTCGTATATTCTTTCTTCACGTAAGGTTAGCTTATTGTCTCGATTCCTTTGATATTTAGTCGATTGTATAATCAAGTTCGATATATAATTGAAGCTAATGTCCATTTAGGGGTGTTCAAAAATATCCGTATCCGAAATTCCGATCCGAAAAATCCGAAATCCGATCCGAAATTATCCGAAGTTTCGGATATCCGGATTTTCGGATATCCGAAAATTCGGATATCCGCTTTTCCGGATTCGGATACGGATATTAGTTTTATAAAGTTTCGGATATTTCGGATATCCGATATCCGAAAATATACACTTTTCTATATTTTTTTATTATCTTATGCTATTATTTGAAAATATAAATTAGGAAGATTTAATGTTAGGATTAATGTTTTTATGTTATTATTCGGTGATTTGGTGACAAATTGTTAAAATTGATAGATATTTCATTTTGTTTAAACCATGAGATGATATTCTAATGACTAACAACATGCTACTCTATTCTAATATACAACAATTTAATTTATGAGTCAGTGAGCTTTTTAAGAATGAAGCTTCATCGTTAATGTTTTTCGTTAATACTTAATGCTTTAATGTTTTATGTGTCTTAAATTAATAATCGATGGTTTTGAATTTGTTTTATTTAAGTTTAATCAAGTAGGCTATGAATGGTTGATAGTTTAATGTGTCTCAAACGGGTAATGAATTCTAATAAAACTTAATAGTGGTTGTTTAATTAATTGGATTGATATTTGATAGTGACCAAAAGTAAGAATTTCGGATATCCGATTTTAGTATCCGAATCCGTATCCGGAATTTCGGATACGGAATCGGATACCAAATAAACACTATTCGAATTTTCGGATATCCGAATTTTCGGATATCCGGTTTTGAACACCCCTATGGCCATTAATGTTTGGTCAATTTTGGGAATCAGTAATCACCAAATTCACACCCTATATTTCTTCATCAATCATGATTCCTAAGAAAAGATATATGTATTATTTATGAAATCATTAGTTTAGGGTTTATCATTTGTGTAATTGTTGATTTATTCAATTTATTTTAGATTGAGGGTTGATTTTATGATTTATCTTTTATGTAATTGTGGATGCTTGAGATAACCAGAAGAGCTGAGCATAAATAATAGAATTATATCATACATATGAGTTGTCATATGTACTGATGGGGGCAAAATGGTCCTCCAGTGAATCTGGTATGGTCATAAATGTTGGTTAATTGATAATCGCCATTTCCACATTCTGATCGAGCATAAATTATGAAGAGAGAAGCTGAAGCAAAAGTAAATTGTTCAACAATTGAGAAGAAACTCTATTAAAAGGTTATTTAATAATTGTTACAGACTTTACTTCGTTTTTTCTACTGATTCCTACTATCACTTCATTGATGAACAGAAATTTTGGTGCATAGAATGACAAAGAAAGAACAAATCTATCTTTTTTGGATTGGAATCAATCCGAAATCATGATGATTTGAATGCTGATCTTTATGAACCATAATTAGGGTTCTATCCGATCCATTCTTTTAAATCATGATCGGTGTTTTTTTAGCAAAGAATAAATAGAAATAAATGTGAAATCAAGATTTATATCTCAATTTATATAACATTGTACTGCAGTTGAAACAATTCTTTTAGCATTTCAAAACTACATTCTTATGCTTGGAACAAGTGTAATGATCCCTTCACTATTAGTCCCATTGATGGGTGGATCAAATGTAAGCATATTTTAATTTCCTTCATCTCTCTTTCTCTCTCTCTCTCTCTCCTATTTTTAATTCAAATTCTCTGTTTATTTAATATTTTTCTTGTAGGGTGATAAGGCGTGTGTTATACAAACATTACTATTTGTAGCTGGAATAACACACTTCTTCAAAGACTCTTTGGAACCAGGTTACCTTCTTTGTTGGAAGCTCATTTGCTTATGTTATGCCCATACTTTACATCATAAATGATTCATCTCTGCAACGGATCCCCAATCATCATGATGTATGTTGTAAAATGTCTTTTATACCCTTCATTGTCAAAATATGAGAACGTATAACGTGAAAGAAATTTTTGTGTTCAATTGGTTTTGCAGATATTTATACAAACAATGAGACCTAACCAAGGAGGTTTAATCGTTGCTTCTAGCATTCAAATTGTTGCTGGTTATAGCCAGCTTTGGGGTCTCTTAATTTTCACAGTATATTTAAACATTTTTCTTTCTTTACTAATTTTCCATTTTCTAATTTTAATTTTTCATTTTTTTTTGGAAAAAAATTCATAGAATTTTCAGTCCACTTGGCATGGCTCCTGTTGTTGGTTTAGTTGGTTTAGGGCTATTTGAGCGTGGATTTCCCATGGTATGTTTATTTTTATGTCATTTCTAAAAAAAGGGTAAAATAGTCATTTATTCATATTCAGACTTAATTCAATGCATGACTTAATGTTAGCGCCATTTTGGTAATATATTTTGTTGTATGTTTCCTTTTTCAGCTAGGAAATTGTGTGGAAATCAGGTTGACTATGCTACTTTTAGTTATTGGAGTTTCACAGGTAAGTTTTTCTTTTATGTGATAATTCATTTCAATGATGTCTTATTATTGCCTTAAAGAATCTAATAATTCCTCAAAACTTGCAGTATTTAAAGCACACAAGACTACTGAAAGATGTTCCCATTTTTGAGAGGTTCCCTGTATTAATATGCATATCAATTATATGGATCTATTCAATCATACTAAAAACTAGTGGAGCATATAGAAATAGACCTAATACAGCTCAAATAAGTTGTAGAACAGATAAAGCAAATCTCACATCCACTGCTCCATGGTTAGTATTAATAAACTAAATAGATTCATTTAATATCCTTTTTACATATTTGATTTTGTCCTAAAATAGTAAAATCATTCAGGCTTAAGTTTCCATACCCGTTATAGTGAGGTCCACCTACTTCTTCGGTTGGCCATTCGTTCGCGACGATGTCTTTAGTTCTTGTGTCAATGGATGAGGTAAGTGCGTGTCATAATTATAAAAAAAAGTTAAAAAAATTGTTTCTTTTTTTTTTTTTGTTTTTTTAATAAGAGTGCTTATAAGGCTGGCAATTGCAGCTCCACCTCCTGCTTATGTACTTTGCAGAGGCATTAGATGGCAGGTGAGTTCTTTATATTATATAAAAAGGATGAAAATTTTAAGGTCAAAAAAATTCTAAATCTGGAAGTCAAATTTGTTTTTATCAGGGAATAAGTGTGCTTCTAGATGGTCTTTATGGAACTGGAATTGGATCCATAGTGTCAGTGTATGAACCATTTGCCAATTTGGTGTTATTAGAATGAAAATTGACATGTTTGATGATATTACATGTCTTTATATGAAAATTGTCATTTAAATGCATAATTATTAGACATCTGAAAACTAATATGTAGAATTGGGTATAAGTTGATGAAATGTTTGTAATTGAATAGACTTTTATTTGGTATAAATCGACAACTTTATGAATTATGGAAAGTTTGAAAGTAGGTTGCATATATCAGAAAGTGTTACAAGACTAAATTTTATGAACTATGGGAAATTTCTTTTGTAAGAACAAGTTTGAAACATCATCTTATTTCAGGGAACATGTGGGTCTTCTTGGATTAACCAGAGTTGGGAGTCGAAGAATTGTTCAGATTTATGTTGGTTTCATGATTTTTTTTCTCCATATTAGGTTAGTCTTTTCAAGATTTTATGATTAAACACTTATAGTTATTGGTTTTTGACAATGTTTCTATATATGAAGTGATTTTTTAGGTTAGTTTTATTCAAGTTTTTTACTGTTTAGCAAGTGATGGAACCGATTTCATGACATTGTTATTCGTTTTAAAAACATTTATAATAATGGTCTAAGGCTTAATTTAAGTTGTTATTTAGTAACTTAACTGTCATTATTTTAATAATTTTCACTAAAATGTTATAATTATTATCGATTAGGGGGATATCGGTCAAAATGCATCAGAAGAATTTTTTTTATTCCAGTTTGGGTTTCGCTTTTGGAGAAGGTTTTTTTTGTTTAATGCTTTTTTAGTCTCAATTTGAGTAGATTGATGCTAAATTCTCTTTTTTCATATATGTGAAAAAACCAATAACTATGAACACATCTTGCAGAAAGCATCTCATAAGTGCCAGATTATCAACATCCAGTCGTTGAATTGAACCTTTGGCTAATGCATGTGTTTTCCTTCACTTAATTGGTGGATATCAGGTAAACACTTTTTGTGTCCTTTTCCTGATTAATGAACAATTTATGCAACTTACTTACCATGTTTTGTTGAAATCGGGTTTATTTGGCAGTAGGATGGAAGCTCATGGGTTAAACTCATCCTGAAAATTGAAAGGAAAAGAATATTATCAGTCAAGATACCTTCCTAAAGTGGAAAGGGTATGTTAATTGGTTTAGATTCAAGTTGATATTGTACTTTTTAATATAGCATCATACTTTCATTTTTAATTCATATTTTCAAATAAAATATCATGTTGTTTTTCTTATTAAACCATTGTACTTTCAAAGTACAATGGTTAAATAAGAAAATAAAACAAAAAATTAAAAAAAAATGAAGATTTAGAAATGAATGTTAAATATATAATTAGACAAACAAAAAAGGTACATTCACAAATTACAATGGGGGGGGCATAACGGTAATTTGACAATTGTCATTTTTTAAACAAATGTATAAATGGGGATGGGGGCAAAATGGTAATTCGTCTTTGAAAATAATAGTAGTGTACTTATTTTCAATACAATTTATGTTATTTTCTTATTTAAGCATTGTACTTCTAATTATAACATCATACTTTCATTTTTAATTCATATTTTAAAAAAAAATGTACTTTCAAAGTACAGTGGTTAAATAAGAAAATAAAACAAAAAATTAAAAAAAAAATGAAGATTTAGAAATGAATGTTAAATTTATAATTAGACAAACAAAAAAGGTACATTCACAAATCACAATGGGGGGGGGCATAACGGTCATTTGACAATTGTCATTTTTTAAACAAATGTATAAATGGGGATGGGGGCAAAATGGTAATTCGTCTTTGAAAATAATAGTAGTGTACTTATTTTCAATAAAATTTATGTTATTTTCTTATTTAAGCATTGTACTTCTAAATATAGCATCATACTTTCATTTTTAATTCATATTTTCAAAAAAAAAATTATGTTGTTTTTGTTATTAAAGCATTATACTTTCAAAGTACAATGGTTAAATAAGAAAATAAAACAAAAAATTAAAAAAATTAAGATTTAGAAATGAATGTTAAATATATAATTAGACAAAAAAAAGTACATTCACAAATCAAAGTACAATGGTTTCTTCTATAACCTGTTTGACCGGATTTTCTTTGCACCTAAATTCTTACTATTTAAATGAATAAAATGAAATATGTCCATTTTAGAACATCAAAACATTCTCTATTTAAGTTTCTTCATTTTGCTTCAAGTAGTCGGGTTTTCTGAAATTGGAACACATAAAAGCGTGATACAAGGTTTCAACTTCATATTAACTATTACTTTGTCTTTTTTTAATGTTTTTTGATATGTTGGTAAGTACTATATGCCACAAAAAGTATATGATTTTTCTGAAATTGGATAACTTAGATCGTTTAACTATTGAAATTTTGTAGTGCATTTTCAATTTTAATTAGTATGTTTGTATATTTTGTTGGTTTGTTGGTAAACAAAACGTGTTACAAAATGGTCTAAATTCCGGACCATGCAAAGAAACAACATTACAAAGCACTTTTCCCGGTTGGAATATTCTATGTGGCGATTACTCAACAACTAGCACCAAATCCAAATGATTAGAATCAAATGCCAAAATTTAGGTTAAGAAATCCTCCAAATATTATCAGGGGTAAAATCGTCGACATTGATCAAAATAAACAATGTACCATCAAAGATCACGGGTTAACATTATGTAATGCCCGGGTTTCGGGGCTAAGCATTAATAGATGATGTAATAGTCTAGGTCAACTATTGTAACTCTTTTTGGAAGTAATAAAGATGAATTATTTGAGTATTATGTGAATTATGTGCATTTATGTGCTTATTACTTATTTATAAATATATAATAAATAAAGGATACAAATAAGCGTCAAAATTAAAGTGTGAGATAAACCCGATATATTTACATAAAGTTTTAGTGGTCAAAACAAGGATTCCGGGGATATAAAGAACGCCGAAATCCGAGTTATAACGAAGACGTTATGACCCGTCGAAGTTTCGCGACGGAACCGGCACGACACCAGGAAACGTAAATAGTGAATTTACGATGGAAGACTTTTTGACCTTAGTAATCTAAACCAAAGTTGTAGTATATGTTAAACCGAGAGCGTCCATAAAAAGAACGCCCAAATCTGACTTCGTATGAGGAAGTTATGATTTTTCTAAGATTTGGCATAGCAGTGCACGACCCGAAACTCGAATTTTAGTTCGAGCGGTTTTTGGCTTACGCGACCTAAATGAGAGTTGAAGATCTCATTAATAGGAACTTAACGGTAAAAAGACAGACGAAAACGGAGTTCGTATGAAGAAGTTATGAATTTTACACGACCATTTAACAGTATAATCTCCTCCTACTGTTCTAGACAGTCCAGTGGAACGCTAGCAGACTCGCAACCTGTAGGTGTTTATTTGAACTGTGTGCTCACCAGAAGTACTCCATCCCCCACATGGTTGCCTTATTTGTCATGAATTGCTGAGGAACCCCCGAAGCATGTGTTATCACCCCAATGAAAGTCCTTAGACTAGGTCCCTTGTGTTAGATATTTTAGGGACGTAAAGTGAGGATAACGGGAACGGGTAATCGGGTTTATTTGGTTGATGAAAATAATAAACTTATTTATTGTGGGTTGAAAACCCTATGTGCTCACCAGGCTCCCAAGCCTGACCCACTCAGTTTCTTGTATTACAGGTAGTGGCGCATGAGCATAGATGTGATGTTTGGGATGAGAGATTACGGATATAGGCCTGTAAATATGAAATAATGTAGTAAAGCTTATATTGTACTGTTTATGCTTATGATCTGTATTGAACATGACATCCCGAGTCTTTTTAATGAAATACATTTCTACGGAAATGCTTTGATAAATCTTTATCATATTTTGTTTTGGGAACAAATTCCGCAACTCTTTTAAATAAAAAGGTTACTCTGATTTTTAAACAAAGCATAAACAAATCGGTCTTTTCTGGCCGTGAAAATGGGGATGTCACAGTTGGTATCAGAGCATTAGTTTAAGTGAACTAGGAATTGGTAGGATTTCTAGACTTAAACTTAGAATGCTAAGCGATGATTGTGAGATGTGAGCACTAGCTTATTTAGGAAGTATGCCTAATATGCTTTATGTGCTAAATGTTTTGTGCCTGATATGCTGTTATTTGTTCGGATCTATGGTCTATTGCCGACCGGATCTGGAAACCTTATGTGTTTAGGATTCTAAACGTACGACTACGATATTAGAACTAGCATGTATACGTTTCGGAGCGATAATGATGACTTAAACGTCTATCCTAAATAAAGATCTAAATTCACCTTATTCGGTGTATAAATCAAAATGGCAAGAACCCGCAGTGGAGCTGAGAATGCAAATGTGAACAGAAACCAACCTCTAGTGATTGAGCAAATACCGGTTGTGGTAGCCGCTGCTGAGCCAATAACGATGGCCGGAGTGCAAGCAATGATCCAGGCGATGTTAGATCGTCAAATGGAGGAAACCATACGTTTGCTCCAATAGAATCGAGAGGAAGCTACCATACCAATCGAATAGCCCGAGTTGAACGAAGGGCAGTCTGAGGAGGGGAACTACAGTGGGACCGTTGGTCAAGTCAACCCACCGATAGTTCGACAAAACAACCAAGATGACGGAGTCGAGAGGAATGGATGCAAGTACAAAGATTTTCTGACTTCCAAGCCATCGACTTTCACTAGAAAGGAAGATCCGATCGGAGTCATGGATTAGATCTCGGAGATGGAGTTAGCTTTCATGACGTGTGGTTGCAGAGGCAAACTACAAACCACATTTGCTGTACGTCAGTTCTGAGGGGGCGCTGTGCGTTGGTGGAATACCTTGGGGAAGACCTTGAGCCCCAATGAGCCCCTGCAGCTGACATGGGCGGAGTTTTTAGTACAATTCAAACGCAAGTACTGCTCAGCCCAAAACTTGCTCGAGCTAGAGAACCCGTTCCTGACCCTGAAGAAGGGAAGCATGTCAATCGATGAATACACCAATAACTTCACAGAAAAGATGGAGTTTGCCTTGCGTCTTGTCCCGGACGAGCTGACAAAAATCGATAAGTACG